TCCATCCATTGTTGTATCGCTTCTTCTTTAACTCCATACATGGAAAACTTAAGTTTGGTGAATGTCTGTGAAAGTAAAAAGATGACCATAAAACTGATAGAAAAAGAATGAAGATTACCTTATCATGATATAATGTATCCACAAATAATGGTATTAATTCATTTCGAATAATACTGCATGCAAGATATAGTGTAGGTTGTTCCTATGAAAACAAAGAATGAATACAAGACAGACGTATGACTAGAGAAAGTAGGAAAAAAATCTAACGAATTTCATTTCTATTGATTATTTTGTATAAATTAAATAAAGTTAGTAGAACTGATATGAATATAGGCCAGGATTGGGCAAGTATATTTCGACCAGAGCAGAGAAGACAGTAGTCGAACCAGACTTGCGGAATCAGTATTGACTAGTCACCGGCGGAGATAGATTAGTTAGTTTCCTTTAGCAATAATCGATATTCGATAATATTATTCTTTTTAATAGCAAAATGGAATATTTTTCGGAACTCGAAAACTTTCCAATTTTTTCTTCTCTTCGTCTTTATATAAATCTATCCTATAGATTATTATTATGAAGCTGTTTTTTTTTCAACAAACAAAACTTTCTACTAAAATTTGTACATACGTTGTTTAGATCGTTATTATTGTCTATATCATTTGTTATATTAAAAATGATACGACTTTTCATATTCATAGCAGACACTTGATATATAATTCCTTTTTTCAAATCATTAACACATATTGGTGTTGTATACAGTTGAATTTCTTTAATTCCTAAAAACTCATCACAATTAACCGACCAATGTTTCTGATCAAGCCAAAATGATCTTTGAAATGGAATAATTAATGATGTTGCACTAATGTTAGAATTATCTATATTAGTAACATTCGAGAAGAAAAATTGAAATTGTTTTAATAGAAATAATTTGGTCTGAATGAATTGTTTCCAACGTAAACCATCAAATAAGGCGGGATCGAATATTGCATAACGTTCAGTCAATTGCCTATTGTATGTTCCACACGATGTAAAGTCAAATTTTGATTTTCTATAGGAAATCAGTTTGAGATAGACTAGTGATGGTGTCAATGAAAGAAGATATTCGAGTTCATCCATTGAACATTGACATTTATTCATCGTTAGAGACTTTAATTGTTGATAGTGTACATCGATCGATGAAGATACAATTTTTCATAATTAATGTTCTTAAATGAATTAAGCGCTGAAGAATAATATGATACTCATCATAAGTACAGATTTCAATTTTTAGAAAAGTAATATAGCCTGAAAATTGTTCAAAGTTTATATTAAAATAATTAGTAATCGTTAATGAACGAATATGAGTTAATTGATGAATTTTAAAATATTTTAAAAGCCATTCATATTGTTTTGATTCTTGATGATTATCGAAGAAAACAAGTGAAAAAATCTGTTCAGATTGAATTAGATCAGAAATGATTTTCAAATCAGATTGTGATATTAAATTAAAATCAAGCTTAAATCGATTGTAACAACTGACACTTGTATAAACTTGTTTGCACACATATCGTATTGAATGAAGAATTATGATTATATCACAATGATCCAAAATTCGATGAATAATCTCCATTGGTAACGAAAGAAAAGTTACGTTTGACATCGGTTTATGTTTTTTATTCTAAAATAATATGCACATAAATCATTCAAATAATTTTTCCTAAGAGTTTTAAGTTGATACTATGTTTTTTATATAGAGTCCTAATTACAGAAATTCACGTGTTTGTTTTTTGCTAATGTTTCTTTCAATCTATATGAAATGTATTGGAATAATTTTCATTGACCTAACAATATGTAATAAGTCGATCAATAGTCTTTCAAATTCGATTATCAGCACAAAGTTTCTTTTAAAATAATATAAAAATAGAAATCAGTGATTTTTATTCAGTACACTCTCCGTAGAATGGGATCCTATTGACAGAAATTGTTTTTCTTCCCTACATTTCTTGTCAATCCATGATTTTCACAATATCATAAGCCGAAATAATGAAAAGAATTTGTTTTTGCACTACACTACACTTTCGATTTCGTTCGGTGATCATGATCGCGAATTAATGAAAACGGTTATGTAATATACTGTTAAAATACTCATAGTTCCATGCTTTTTTGATCATATTCGTTAAAAAAAATTGTTCCGTGAAATCTCAAACATCGCAATGAACTGAAATGTAGAGTCTATTTCATTGTGGCTGTCATGTATTCTATAACGGAAAAAGAATAAATCATAACGAGAGAAATACTTCTGCAAGAGCATATCAGAACATTTCTATCTATTTTGTTATCTTTCTTTTATGTAAAAGCAGTATATCGAAAATTTGTACTTTACTTTTAAATAGATTTACCTTTCTACTCACATTTTTCTCACTTGTAACCGAAGGCAAAACAATGAGAAATACACTGTTTTATCTATGTATTTATTCTTTGCAAAGAGATAAAACATGGCGCAAATGTTATCGTTCTTCTGTTGTTAATACAGTACTCTATGTTAACAGAGGTCTCAAAATAAACTACACTAAATCAAAATGCATTTTTCTTTCATTTCTTAATCCATACGCTACGATGAGATCTACCAGTTGATCTCACTATATTTTAACAAGAAGCTTAATAGAAACGCTTTTTTTTCTTACGCATAAGATTACACATCATGTGTCATCTACTCTGCATTCTCTATTGTTCGAATGAGGTTATGGGTGTGGGTATGTATCTTCTACGCATCCACACCCGCACTCATATCCAGCCCACTATTAAAGCACTTTTCATTAGAAGTATTGTAATTTGAACTACAATGAGCGTGTGTCACCTATCGACTATGCCCGTATAAAAAGAATATCGAATAACTGGCTTAAGGAAAAGTATCAAAACACATTTTTCAATTATTTCGTCAGTTTGAATGAGGAAATAGGAGAAATCCTTCTTAAGACTTTCTTTTGAGCTCATCAAGTAATACGATAACCAAGTGGAAAATTTTTTTCTTGACACTACTCTTATTCAAATTTCCACAGAAAACTAGGTATACCATGTTCTTTTTAGCGTCTGAAGTATTATGATTCTTGAGAAAATTGATCTTTTTAAAAGTACCATAAAAAATTCTTAAAAATTCAGCAAAAACAGTGTTTTACTTATGAAATCTATAATTTTTGTTAAATTTTTGTAAGCAATAGCTGATTCGAAAGAGCATTAAAAACTGAACAAAAAGCGGCTTTTTCAAAGACTTAAAATTTGAAATTTGTTGTTGGAAATTTAAAAATTTGTGAAATTTAAAAAATTCGAAATTTAGGAGAATTTTAAAAATTTTGACTCTTTGAAGAACTAGCAACGGAATGAAATAAAATGCATTTTGAAGCCCTGAAAATTCTGCATAATGTAGGAGTCAAATTTATTCAGAAAAAAAAAGTGGACGTTATGTTCAAACCTGACTTACAAAGAAAAAAGGCCAAAGTCAAATTTTGGCAGAAAAGATCAGAAAAGTGGTTTTCCTCTTTTCAACACAACCAAAACGAAAAGAAAAGTTGTTATTCGTAATCAACACGAAAAAGTGACAAAGAAACATCACCAGAAGGTGGGTTTGAGGGATATACATGTGAGTGTACTCCGACAATTACTTCTCACATCCATATCCTCTTAGTGATGCATTTAAGATCAATCGAATGAGATTAGATCTCTACTCATCTCTCGACCATTTAACATTATCATTCATCACAGACACACAATACTAAATCTTCGATACCAAAACATCGGTGCTAAAGGACGACAGTATTATTGATGTTTGATATTAATATGCGGTATTGTGATTTAGTACTCTTACGCTCAAAATACTATATTTTCAGCTGTTGTACAAAAGAAATACGTTTAACACATACATTTATTTGCGATCAAATCAAAGGTATTATAATGATTCGTCGCCACCTGCATTACTTAAAGTAGTCACACAACCAGAGAAAAAAAAACAACGTCTACTACTTGAATAATTTACAGATGATAATATATTTTATTTTGCTGAAGTATGTAATGATAACGATGAATCATTTAGAAATGATTCAATCAACAAAACTGCCCATGGAGTTACTCAATATTGCTAGTTCACAAAATAAATTTTGATACGGACAACATCTGTCAGTGTTGAGAGACAATTTTCCAGTGTTGGTTTAGTTTATACTGAATAAAGAAATCGATTAGATGGTACGAGTGTGGGTGTGGATGAAGGGAAGACCCATATACCCACACCCATACCTACGCCCACACCCGCAATAAGAGCCTGTGGGACCACCTTTCCTGCAAGTTTGAAGTCGATCTATCAAACTTCCACTGATTTATGAAGTGCACAATGGGATAGGTCGGTTATGCCATATATCGATACTTACAGTAAAATGGTTCTAGTTCCGCAACGACTCATTGAATTTCAATGGACATTTTACCATAGATAGTCAAAGTGCACAGCTACAAAATAAAAACAACCCCAATCCATAAAGTCTTTCTGTTCTTGAGTTATGAAGTTCACAATGGAGACAGATGGGACGCATTATAACTTCCTTATACTTCATGCAATCGGGATGCGGGTAGTATCACTGATCAACATTCGTTGAGAACTATGTATGTGATAGTTTTCAGCTCTACAGCTCATATTGTGACTGAGTTTCAGGGGGAGGGGGATACTTTTGTCGGGTACTGTATATCGTTGTAGTTTGTTTCGATCAAGTCGATTTCTCAGGTGGGCTCCCTATTGATCAGATTTTTCTACATGTTCTCAAGCCCAATGAGAGTTTTGCATGCATATATTAAGATTGAATTTTCCCGGACAACGCCGAGTACTTCTACTAGTTAACAATAAAATGATGGAATATCTAACATATGATTTTTCGAGTCGAATATTTTGCTCTTTGGTTTATTTAATTGAAAACTAGGAAAAGTAAACGACTGTTTGAGATATCATTGAATTATCAATAATATGATTAGAACAATAAAATATCTGCTTCATAGTTGCTCCTACATACAAAAAATAGATCTAATTAAATGATATTCTGGTGGTTCTCATTATTGAGTTTCGATATTTTTTACAGAATTGTTTTGATAGTTTTTTCTTGAAACTCTTATTGTCAGAAAACGTGATTTAACTACATAATTTCAGTCAGAAATACAAACCAATAGAATAAATCAAACAATTTTCCAATGGAAATAACTGTTGGAATTCAATACTTGATCATAAACATTTTATGTCTTACTCTTGTTTTTATTTTGTTATAAAAATATTAGAATTTTTATGACTTAATTTTATTGAATGAGTCAACATTGAATTGAATTTACAAATGAAGGAAAATATTGATAAAACTCTTTTGAATAGAGTTTTGGATTTATAACAATTAATTGTTTCACTTTAGAACAATTGAGTCGCGTTGCATCTCTTGTAAAATTCATTGTTACAATTTCCAAATGATCATAATTGACTTTTAATTCAGTTAGACGAGGTAAATATGTCTTTGTTTCAAGTAGAAATTGAACAACATAATCTTCATGCACATGAGAAATGTCAAGTGATGTAAGATGAGAATATTCAATAACTGAATAAGATGCATTCTCATCATCTTTCAATTCAGCAAGATTTGCTGATTGTCTCCTCTTATTCTCCATAGAGAAACACTTAAGCATTGGAAAAGCTCGACTAATTCGCATAAAGAATTCATGCTTCATTGGAATCATATCGTAGGCAGACAAATGAGTTACAGTGTCAAATACAATTGTTGGAAAATTAGTCGTAATCTTTTCCAAATGAGTAAATGTGAATGGAAGCGAGTAAATATGACAGATAGCCTTAATGTCGCCGTTGAAATAATCGATAATACAAGCCGTTGGTCTATATTTTATATTAGTAAATGTTTCTTGAATATCATTATTAGATTTACGATAAACTGGATTAAAGATAATTTTTTCTGTACTTATATAAAATATAAATGTATGAAGCACAGGCATATGGACAAGAATTTCATTCTGAAGATATGTGCCATCGATAAATGGATTTGTATCCAGAAGAAATGAATCTTTCAATTGCGAATAGATACGCAGATACAAAGTTAACTTTTCGAGATGTGTCATACGGCGAAGAAGCGGCACAACAAATTTGTTACAATAATGAGTAACATTATAACTTGTTAATGAGAAACACTTCAAATTATGTAGCTCACCCTATAAAATACAAAAATATCATTGGAATACATATTTATCATTTCAGTTAAAAGAACAAGTTTATATGAGAAATTGATTGAAAAAACTCTATTCATTTACAATTGTTGAATATTTGTATTTGATGAGATATACCAAATACAATAATGATGTATAAAATAAATAGACGACATTTCTAACTTTACGAATATTTAAAATCATAAATATTTAGAAGCCAGTTCAACACAAAAACTTATCACTTCAGAATTTCCAAGATTTCAACAGACTTTGAAATTCGAAAGTTGGTTGGATTTCTGAAGTTACATAAAATATCCTTAATATCGTTAAATAGAATATTTCTCATTTCTAAAATAAGACTGTCTTTATTAAACATATTCTAGTTAAGAAAAAAGTTTCTTGGAAATATTTTCATTGATATGCCCTAAATCTGTCAAATTTCTAATGATAATGTCATCTTTCATACTAGCAAAGTTTTAAATCTAAGGACTTCCATTTGATATTCTACATTCTTTTAAAATCACGATGATCGAAGAGCAATTGTGAGGCAGTGGAAGATGACCTTCATAAATTCTGCAGTTTTTGCTAGATCATATAAAGAAAATTGGTTGCGACTTGTACTCAACAAATATTTTTCAGCTTGTGTTATAGTTCGAAAACAAAAATTAACTATTGAGAAAATGCTAGACAATCCTTTTTAATTATCTTGTGAAGGTCAAGATACTCATTTTGCAACTATTTGATTAACTAATTCAAGTGATTAATAATCAAACAATTTCGCGTAATAGGAAAACAAGATAATTTATCTATTTCTAATCGTTTCACAATGATCAAAACTATCATGCTCTATTTACTATTCTAATAATCACCGGTTGCATTAACATTACTACATCGTCGATATTATTCCTTAGTTCAAAAAACAAAAGTCAAAACTTACTATATTGTAAGACAAATATGAATGATCTATATACTCGATTTGAACGACGAACGTGGTTAGTTGTTTGAGACGACCATCAAGTAAACAGAGACAATCATCAAAACAATACACATTAATGTGTAATATAGTAAGAGTCGAAGAAAAATAAGTAGCTGATGGTAAACTACCAAGTAGCAAAGGCGGATACTCATTCACAGATGATCCAACAATTGCCAAATGTTTTAGACTTTGGAAGAGAACCATGACATGTGAATACACATTTGCAGTATAACTTTCCAGTAAGCTTTTATCGGGGCATTCATCATTATTATGAAGAATAAGATCTGTTATCTGATGTTGAAATATATGTCGAAAGGCCGAGTCATCTAAGTAAAAAAAAATCCAATGTAGTAAAATACTTTTGTATTTTAATCTTTCGATGACTAAGATTATATTACGTGCTTACTTGTAAAATAACAGAAAACAGTCTCTTCTCCAAAATCGACGAGTTCCAATAAAGTCAGATTTGGATAATCACCAGCAAGAAGAATACATTCCATAGATGTTGTAGTCAGAATAAGTTTTTTGATATAATGATGCATTCGAGGTAATATATAAGTACAAAATCGATCAAGCTTTATATCAGTAATCGATGATATTCTCCCAAAATTGAGAATGTTGGTAAACAGATCATCTTGTACTAAAGTTTGAAGTCGTTGATTATTAATTCCAAATAGTGAATAAAGAACATCAATACTGTCGAGTTTCTTCAAGATAATAAATAATATTTCATTGGATAGATCAAGCAGATGAATGTCTAACTGATTCATGTTTGTTTATAACATGTCAACCTTCAAAAAACATACATATATATATATGTTCATTTTTTTTTCTCATGACCTTTTTCGTCAGCAAAGAATAGAATATATTGATCGCGGCACAAAAAAATTGTGCTATCAATGACTAATCGAGTATGATCATCAACAGATGTTATTCTCTTTTCCACATTTATTTATTTTCTTGTGGTCACTTTACCATGTTCATCCCGATGAAAACAAAAGATTTCATATTAAACAAAGCAAAGAAAATATGTATGTGAGACAAAAAGTTTACTAAATTGTAGCCATGTAATGTTCAAAAAAAACAATAGTCATGGGGATATGCTTATAGAAGTACATTAATGAAAAAGACAAGTTAATATAAAATATATTCTATTTTTTTTTTTACTAGAAAATGTCTCACACAAAATAAGAACCAATATCAATTTGACAATAAATCTCAAACTGCAATTACTGTTGAGTATCTAAATTGAAATATTAGTTTGCAATAGAACGTAGATGTTTAAGCTGATTTTCTTTATTCAGTAGTATACCGAAACAGAATCTAATGGTGTTTATTGATCACTGTTTGTCTTATAATTTTCTCTGATGAGAAACAAAATACCAATAAAATTTTTTCTGTATTATAAATGAAGATGTTTACTCAGCCGTCTGATTTATATTTCCGAGTATCATTGATGACAACTATTATTTCTCTATAAAGTTTCACGTTAAATGCGTGATTGAAAATATCTATGTGAATTTTTCGTGATTTGGAACTCACAAGCGATCTGAATGACTTGTTCCTAATCATTTAATAGAATGTTTTACTTTATTAAAAGATGAAGTTGACAATTTTCTGCACTTCGTAGATTTTAACCAATAAATCTTCAAATCAAATATCTTCAGATCTTTTTATTTTTTAAATTAGAATAAAAAAAAACCGTTATTGTTATAAAAATTCAACTTGTTGAAACAATGATGAGAATCGTTTGAATGCTGTATCGTACAACTCTTTTCCCATAAAACTATAATTTCCTTATTCCATCAATTCTTGAAATACTATCAATTGATCTCAATTAAATTCGTATGTCCGATATCAATTTTCTGCATGTTCTAATTTCTGATCATTTATATCAAATATTTTCGGTGATGGACATGCCTAATCATTAAATTTAGCTTGATATTTTATTGTTGAATCTTGTCACATTTTATATATATGTTCATATAGAAGACATTCAAATTTTCTAATAATATTATCTCGAATACAATCATTATGGAGACCCTATGTACGTTCGAACAAGTTGAATATCATTTGAAATCGTACGATTTAATTTAAAAGGACGATAGAAATCATATAAAGTATTATTTATATTTAATTCATGAATATAATAAGCTGGGTGTGGGTGTGTGTGTGGGTGTGGTGTGGGCGTGTGGGTGTGTGGGTGTGGGTGTGGGTGTGGGTGTGTGGGTGTGGGTATCCTCTTTCATCTTACCCACACCCCACCTACACCCACACCCCACACCCACACCCTGATTTTGGGACAAGGAATTCTCAGTCTCGGTTCGGGCAATATATTTAAATTTTTTTTTGGTTTGAAAGAGCGCGTCGAGATGCAGGTCACCACAGAGTCTTTTTTTTAATTAAGCTTTGTTTTTTATTATATATACAGACACTTATGTGACTGGACACCCATTTTTGGCACGTTTTTTGAGTCATTGGACTTGTAATCTCCTTTCTCCGCTAAAAAAGTAAGAATCTTAAAAAAAGGACTCTGTGGTGCTCTGCATCCTGACATGCTCTTTCTAACAAAAAAAAATTTTAATATGTTAACAGAGTCTGGATCGAGAAATCGTTGTACCAAAATGAGCAATTTTTGACCCTTGTTTGGTTCATATCTCTGTCAAACATCAGGGTATTGAGCTGAAAATTTTACCACAGCCTCCTCACATCAGCCCCAACATATGCTCAAAATTTCAGCCCATTTGAACGTTTCTGGGCTGAGATCGATTTTTGAGGGGGGGGGCTTAAATGACTTTTCGACTTTTTTAATTCAAAATTTGATAAACCATTTGAAAAGATTCTTCAGCAAGATCAAAACACGTGTCATGGTAGCTTGTCTCACGACCCTCCTAAACAAAAAAGTCAGCTATGAAACTCTGAACTCTAATGAACTCGCTCATCAGTCATGTTTTTTGCCGTTTATTCTTGATTAATTTGATCTAACTACTTACAACTATTCTTTGCATCATCTGTATTTCATTTCTCCATTTTATTTTTTTTTAAATAATATGGAAATTCACAAGAAAAAAATCAAGTATAAAACACCTACTGAACCGTCGTATTCTAATCAGTCATCTCCTTACTGTAATCTCGAGCTTTTATATTAGCAAAAATGATACAACTATGAAAACGAAAAAATATAGCCAACGGTATAAAAATAGCTTCATAAATATCCCACTTTTCTTTGTATTTTCGTCGTTGAATTTCACTTATATCAGTTTCTTTAGCACTAAATGTATCAAATAACCATATTGCGAAACTTAGTATCATCCATATATTAAGAGTTGCCTCAGATAAAGCTTGCTTGCGTCTGCTAATCTTGTAAACAATAAATATTTGCAGTGAAGTTTGTAAAATTGGTATCCATGAATTGAAAATTGTTAGCATCCTCATGGCTCCAGTGAATTTTTCTTTTGGTTCATAACATCTAGCACCATGCAAAGTAATCACACAATAACTAAATAAAAACAACATCGCAAATACCAAAAAACCGAAATTTATTAGACATTCACGCTCCCAAGGCACTGTCTCAGAGTTTGTTTGTGTATTAGTTTTCTTCCTGCATAATATAATTAATGAATAAACAGTAAGTACCAAAATAGAAAATGCGAGTGCTAGTTCACAGCTATTACTAATCACAGTAACTAAATGGATGGTCTCATTACCAGCCGGAATAAACTCATTTTTGTTACTACTAACGTTGTATTCTTGAAAAAAAATGAGTACCATTGACATACTGACTAAAAAGAGACCGGCTGCAGGAATCACAATTTTCGCAGCCACATTTACACAATTTTTCCAATATTTTTTCGTTGTCCTACAGCAGAAAATATTTAAAATTATTTTCATAGAACAACTGATAGTATTTCCTTACTTGCGGGATCTATTAACGATATTATGTTTCCAACCACAAATTGCTATAATTAATAGTTCGATAAAGCAAGCAAATCTAAATTCCATTCCTAAGGGATACAGAAATGGTTCGATTTGTTTAAATGAATTTACATTAATGCTGATATTTGAGGTACAGGTATCGTTTTCTCTGTGTTGTTGATCTATTTCTTGGAATAATAATAATAGCCAATGAATGAAACAAGAAATGGACAAAAAGAGGATGAAAAAATTGAACGATGAAGAATTTGATTTAGTCGGGTATTTAAATTTGTATAGAATAAACATTAATATGAATAATTGACGAATAGATTTCAATAGATTTTCTAACCATGATGCAGTAATATTTTTATGACATTCGGAACTGATTGTATTATCTTCGTTGAGAAACCAAATGAATTGATCACCAGATCTTGTCAAATTAAATACTGAATCACCAAATCCCAGAATTAACAAAAATGTAATGACAGTCGTCGAGTGTGGCGTATGACTGTGATCACTATTATTTTGTTGACTATTGACAGAAGTATTAAGTGTCTCTGAATTACTATCGCCGCTTAAATATACATTTATACTAATGCCAATTACTATTGATACAGATGTGATAATCGATAGAATATCAGCAGGTAATCCGCTTTCATAGAATACAGTTTCATAATGTTGAAGGAATATTATTCCAAGGATAATTAATGATATGAGCGGAAATATAACTAGACAGATGAACCACACGATAATTTCGAGCCATCTACAATATTCTCTGGCAGCAGAGTTTTCACCCTCGTTGCGAAGAAGAGAGGTAGTTATTGTTGAAGTTGAATGTGCCATTCGATTGTAATGAAAACCTATAAGAAAGGCACTTAACTAAATTTTCGCGATAAAAATAAATGAGAAAATTGTTTTCTTTCATTGGTTCTTCGTATAAGATGAATTTTCTCTCAAAATTTATAGCACAGATATATCAGTCATAACTTTAACCGTTTGTAAGCTAAGTACACGATCACACCCAAGCCTACCAAAAAATTCGTTTTCATCTACAATATACATAAATCAATGCGGCATGTCTGCACTGACGCTCAGATGAGCACTGCATTTTCATTTTGGTAAGAGGAAACTACTAACAAATAGATACTCTATCTTTCTGATTTGGTTCAGACTCCGTGCCAATCTTAGTAATTTTTCTCTGGAAACTTCGGTCTCGATCTGGAAGACTAATAAAACTGCACTATATATCTTCAATCTAGATAAAACGTGGAGATAAATAATCGCTCCGATCTGCCGTTCCTGAAATACTTATGTGGATAATTGCTATCAAAATAAAAAGGGGATGAATAAGAAACTCTGGAAGACATATTTATCACAGCAAGTAAACTTTGGTTTTTTATACTATGTAGACGTGTCTTGGAAAGTTCCGACAAAATACTTTTATCAGCATTACATCAACTCATAAAGAAGACAAAGTTCGTGTGTAACAAATACAAGATCACCTCACTTTCACATTTTCTTTGCTTGGAGAAATTATCGTATCTACTACCGTAGATAAAATTTCTTGTATAGATACATGTGCATGCTATTTCATTTTAGAAAAAAGATTCCCATGCAGTTTGGAACAACTTTTGTTTTATAAACATTTTTTCCTACCCTATGAATATATTTCCAAGCAATTTCTTATCTCTTGTTTACCTAGTCTATACTACTTACCTTTGAAATCGTACATTATATCAAACGCAAATATTACTCTTATTGCTCATAGTTGAAGAAAGTTGGTAAGAAAGTAGTTTCCTTTTTT